TTTTTTTTTTTTTAAATATAAGTCTTTTTTTTATTAATTTAACACATCCGTGCTGAATAGAAGCATTAATTTCTTTCAAAAAGAAAAAACAAATTACTGACCCAAAACTTTTGAACGGTAGTGTATGTTGATACAAAAGATTTCTATTTTGAATAAACGCTGTTCTTTTTAACTTTTTGTTCTTCAGATAATCCTGAAAAAAAAATCACAGGTTCCAAAATAATATTAAGCAGCAAAACTGTTTCCAATATTGATAATAAAACAGCATATTAGAATGATTTCTGAAGATCATGTGACACTGAAGACTGGAGTAATGATGCTGAAAAAACAGCTGCACATCACAGAAATAAATTACATTTTAAAGTATATTAAAATAGAAAACCACCCAGAGTTAGCATTCTACATACTAACATATATATATATATATATATATATATATATACTGTAAACATGACTAATCAGGTCAAGTCACATGTATTTCTATAGTGCTGTATACAGTACAGATTGTCTCAAAGCAGATATATAAACAGGAGAATAACAGAATCAGTGATGCAAATTTCATCAAATATGAGACGAATTTAAATTCTACTGTAAAGCAGCTCTAATAATAGATGACTTTTTTAGACTTTAAGAGATTACAGACATACTGCTCTTACTATTTCTGCAGTATGCATTGTGTGTAATATACACAGTATGTGAAAGGGAATGACTCATTACTTTATTGATCCACCAAAAATTCAGAATCTTTACTCGCATTCGAATTAAAATGAGGACAAACGTTTTTGTTGCTGCTTACGCTTTCATGAAAACACTAAAGTTGGCATAAAAATTTAAATTCATCTTATTCACATTCATCTGCCTCCGTTTTTAAAAGCCACGCCCACATCTTAACATCCAATCAACAACTGATGCATACAACCAATTTTTTTTATTTTTCAATAATTCGTTGCACTCGCTCACTACTAACTTTTCATCATGACTTTAAGTGCATACTAACACGTAAACCTTTGCAGAATGGTATAGCATGCTATATACGAGAGCTGGGCGATATGGCAAAAAAAATTACGTTTTCAGAACATTTGACCGATTCTCGATTTTTATGATTTTTAACTAGTCAACTTGAAAATGTAAGTAACTTTTTCTTTATTAACCCTATAGTCTATTCCAAGTGCACCACACATGATGTAAACGTTAAACAAATCGCTTGTCATTTTAAAGTATATTAAAATAGAAAACCATTATTTTAAATTGTAAAAATATTTCACTATTTTTCTGTATTTCTGATCAAATAAATGCAGCCTTGATGAGCAGAAGAGCCTTCTTTCAAAAACATTACAAATCTTACTGACCCCAAACTTTTGAACAGCAGAGTAAAGTCCAGTTCAAAATAAATGAACTCACCCAGAGTTAGCATACTACATACTATTCTGCAGTATGCATTGTGTGTAATATACACAGTATGTGAAAGGGAATGACTCATTACTTTATTGATCCACCAAAAATTCAGAATCTTTACTCGCATTCGAATTAAAATGAGGACAAACGTTTTTGTTGCTGCTTACGCTTTCATGAAAACACTAAAGTTGGCATAAAAATTTAAATTCATCTTATTCACATTCATCTGCCTCCGTTTTTAAAAGCCACGCCCACATCTTAACATCCAATCAACAACTGATGCATACAACCAATTTTTTTTATTTTTCAATAATTCGTTGCACTCGCTCACTACTAACTTTTCATCATGACTTTAAGTGCATACTAACACGTAAACCTTTGCAGAATGGTATAGCATGCTATATACTAGCGCTGGGCGATATGGCAAAAAAAATAAAGTTTTCAGAACGTTTGACCGATTCTCGATTTTTATGATTTTTAACTAGTCAACTTGAAAATGTAAGTAACTTTTTCTTTATTAACCCTATAGTCTATTCCAAGTGCACCACACATGATGTAAACGTTAAACAAATCGCTTGTTAAATATCTTTGCAGAAAACATGCATGAACTACAGACTTGTCTTATACATATTATATGTTCAGAAATAATACAAGGAAAATGCTTTAAAAAAATCTCAAAAGTCAAGGTAATTCAAATTCAAAACGACTGAAGGTAAAACAGCAGTGGACTATTATTAACTAGGCTATAAATGTTCTGTAAAAGCAGAGAACAGCAGTTTACTTCACTATATTACAATTAAATCCTAATCTAATCATGACAAACTATATATCGTTGGAAATAGATATTTTACCACTATTTTTGTTAAGAATTATGTAGGAAAATTAATAGATTAATTTATGACAAGAATGTACCTCAAAAATCTACATCGTAACAGGATTTCTGACCTTTGTCACAAAAAGTCTTCTTCGTTGCCTTTTTCTCTATCACACTTTAGAAATCATCAGAAATTGATTTCTGCTGAAAACTTAAAATCTCAAAATTCATCCTTTGAAACCCATTTTAAAATCAGATGTTGCGTTACCATGAAAATGGTACATCAAAATCATGTGACAAAGTTTTCGGTCATGAATTATAAAAATTTAAGTTTGGATCGTGCACTTTCACGTCTATGTTCAAAAATGTGAAATTAAGGGGTTAAATTCGAATTAATCGATAAAATCGGAAAATCGCCCATCCCTACTATATACTGACATACTAATAGATTACTAACATACTTCTGCAGTATATAATATGCATATTAACATGCAAGTTCAAACATTTTCTAAAAATAAAAAAAAAACAAAGTTTTTATTTCTGAGATTATATCTGGATGCGTCATAAATTATGAGATTGTCTAACATTGTAGCTGTTGAGGAAAGAATAATGGCGATTGCTTTACTTAATGTGTAATTTTGAGCAAATGGAGCGCTACTTGTAGTTCTACATATGAAGCTGTATTTTAACAAAAAATTTCACTTTTAATGAATGGAAGTTTTCAGACTCTTGTTTGTTTTTTGTATCTATTGTACAAAAGATGAATGACATCATCATCATCATCATCATCACATGACTAATGACATCATCTGTCTGTCAGTTTTTCTCCTGGTTCTCAAAGCTGCAGGTTCAGATGGATCAGGACGAAGCCTCTAAGTACAGGTGTGTGTTCGTGTCCGATATTATTAAAG